CAGGCCCTTTTCCTTTGGGACGGCCCCCGCAGTTTCCCGCCACCCGCAGGCTCTTCCGCGCCTGACGCTGACGCCCACGGGCACGGCGCCCTTGGTGCGGGGGCGAGGCCCGCCCATGTCACTGCCGGGGGTCCGGCTGCCATGTACGTGTGGCAGTGTTCACTTCCTTACGGAGAGCACAGACGCGCAGGCTGCCTGCCATTCCAGGGCGACGCTGATGGGGCCTTGACTCAAGGGACGATACAGCTTCCGACCCCGAGCCTCACGGGGCGCCACCGGGACCGCTGCTCTGGGCTGCGGTACGAGTGCCCTGTCGCCGTGGTCCTGGCTCGTGGTGTGACGCGTGCCACCTCTTGCAGCACCGGAGCCAGCGCTGAGATACCGTAACGTCGCTTCTGCCGCGCAGGCCGTGCGCGCACCTAGTTTTTCAGCCTTTTTCCAGGACCCCGTAACGATCTGTGCTCCTGTGTCCACCTTGAAGCTACACGCGGCTGACGGTGGAAGCCCTCCTGTCCCTCCTGTCACCACGTGAGGCTTCAGTCGCTTTGCGTGTCACGCTCCACAGGTCCCCAGTGTCGCGGCCAAGCGCACAGCCTCAGCGTTCATGATGTAAGAGCAGTTTCGCAGTCATTCAGCCATGACATTGTAAATCATTCCCGGGATGGTATCTTGACTGAGTGCACTGAATAAAAACTACAGATGTCACTGTCACCAACCACTAAGGCAGAGCGCCGAAGATGCTGCCCGCAGCGTGCGAGCCGGGCCTGTCCGCACACACGTCACGGCCATCCTGCCTCCGCAGACACGTGCAGACACTGTGTGTGGCAGCAGAATATCTGGACAGAAGCGAAATGACGCTTTCTCAAGTTGCTGCATTTAAAGCTTTTTGGGGGAAAATCTATGAAAAACAGGATGTATATATTTGACATACAGAATTTCCACTTAGCGCCAAAATAAGAACAGTTAGTGCATTTTAAGCGGCATCGACTGCACCTTCGTTTACGCCTCTGCTTTTCCTTCTGGGCGTACACAGAATTTCCACTTAGCGCCAAAATAAGAAAAGGTAGTGCATTTTAAGCGGCATCAACTGCACCCGTCCTTCGTTTACGCCTCTGCTTTTCCTTCTGGGCGTCTCTCGTTAAAGCGCAGCTCAGTTTAATGACAGCACAGAGCACTCGGCGATGCCACGGGTCCTCACGTCGGCGACCCCTCCAGTGTGAGACCGCCAGAGGACGTGCACAGACATCAGCTGCTCCCAGCCCCGCCGGGTTCGAGACGCACGTCCGCGTTCCCCGCCAGCTTCGTCGTGACTGACATCTGCTCGCAGTCATGCCGTGAGCAGGCCCTGTCGAGGAAGGAGAGAAGGGGGCGTCTGTGAACACAAGAACACCACTTTTAAGTGACCCCCGACTTCAGGGCGTGTCCAGAGGAAGAGCTGCTGGGTGTTCGTAGGACGTCTGAAAACTTGAGTAAAATATTAAGCTTCCCAATGTCTGTGTCAACTCTTTGCTTATCGAAAGCGTCTCCCTACCTGAGGGCTTCAGGCAGATGTGGCCCAGGAGCAGGGACATGCGCTCCCCGCTCCGAAGGCTTGTTGGATGCGTCTTTGCTGAAACAGGACACGCATCACGTGGAGGGACGGTTTGAACCTGGGTCTCAGTGGACACAGATACAGGTTGTTCCACACTCGGTCTCCCACGTAGTTACATCCCCTCGAGGCTCCGCAGACGGCTTGTGTGTCCGGGTCACATACACAGGGATCTTCGTCTTGAGTGAGGGACTCGCCCCACATGCAGGTGTGTCTGCGGACACCTGTAAATGGCACTCGAGGGTCCCTCGCGCCACCTGGCTGGTGGAGGGCAGGTGCCGTGCCTGAGTCAGCTGAGTGCAGGCGCTGAGGCCGTGTCCCCCCCCTTCCCGTCCGCCATGAAGGCACCGGCCCCGTCGTCACAGAGTTCCTCGGGGGCCTGAGCCAACTCCTGTCTTTCACTGGTTCTGCAACATTTAAATAAATTATTTTAAAATGGTAAAATTCACAGAGTATAACATTTATAATGATTTTTACTGATTTTCCAAGGTATTTCTTAGATTATTTACTTAACTTTATGTACATTCTGTATAAACTAGACCTGCCGGAAACATGAGACTTCACGCGGACATTTTACAGTGAAGTGGGCTCCTTCAGAGCCACCGAAGGCTGGCGCGTGGCCGAGGGGGTGCGCTGTGCCCACTGGCTGCCGGGTGGTTACAGGCCGCGCGCCTGGTCCGCGGTGGCTCCGCGGGACTTGCCGGACCACGGCCGCCCGCCCCGCAGCCTCGGTGCCCATCCGCCAGCAGCACGTCGCTCGAGAGCCCTGGGCGGCTTTCTCTGTAGTTAGCACATATTTAATGTGTAAAGGCAGGATTCTTATTAAAACAGCACATGAAGTGCCGACTTTTTAAACTTAAAATATCTACATGATGTTTCTTTAAAAACATTTGGATGCACTGGCAAATTATTTTTGTTTACAGCATTTTGTTTACAAATTGTCGGTCTTGTTTGTTACTTACTATGAGACATTTTCAGTGTGATTTTTAAAATGTCTTAGAAATTGAAGTTTTACAGGGGAGCATGTGAGATCTTGGTCCCCGGCACATGTCATCAGTTTGCAAAATAAAGTTTTACAAAAGTGAGTTCGTGTTTTGATTTACAAGCACTCGAATGTGTTCTTTAAAAAAATCTTAAATACCATCACGTCTAAAACTTAAGGGTACATATATATTCCGTTTCAGTTTTACAAAGGGCAATAATTCTGGAAGAAGGTTGAATTAAGGAAGAAGTAGGTATTTTCTCTTTTTTGATATGGAGTTATTGGTAGATCAGTTTCTTGCAACCTGAAATGTGGCAGCAGTAACTGAAATCATGTATGTTATTTGAGTTATTTTGATTCACTTGATTGATCTCTTCCCTGAAGGACTGAGCCAGGTCGAACTGTCCTCGGCAGTCTAACCCGGAGTTCTCGGAGGCGTAGCTGACTTTTGCATCTGGTTGATTCACCAGCAGACAGAAGCTTTTATTTACACCAGTGCCTGTCAAGGGTTTGACCACAGGCAGAAGTACATTTTACGTTGTAAGTCTGTACACACGCACGCACGCACGCACGCACGCACGCACACACAGTTCTGTACATATAAAGAAAAATTTAACTGCCTACTATGTGTGATGTATGCTGGCATTTTCTGTTCCGTTTTTTTTTTTTTTTTTTTAAATTTCTAGACACAAACCACTAAGTTGTCTCCTGACCTATTAATGGATAATGAACTTTAATTTGAAAAACATGGCCAGCGTGTAGACAGTGCCCCAGAACTAGGCAGTTAGGGGGGGCCCGCAGCTCCCCTTTAGTGGCCTCCTGGCTCACCCATGGCTTCCCCGTGTCGGCTGAGCAGCGGGCCTGGAGGGTGACATGGATCTGACCAGTGGCTGGTTTGCGTCCTTCCTGTGGTGTCCCAGCAGATGGGAGCAGGGGCGGGGCACGGGCGCTGTCCTGTCTGCACGGTCAGACCGGCTGGGAGTGGAGCCACCTCCGCTCTGCCGCCAGAGGCGTCTGCCCCAGGTCGCGGCTAGTGTGACAGTGGCTGTGAGCGCGTCGCAGTGCCAGTCCAGCCTCGCCTCGTTCTGGTTTTGGGGTTTTGATTTCGTAATGACACCTATCAGCTGGTTCAGAATTTTCAAACACCTGGTAGCGCGTCGTTCATCGCAGCATGGCCCAGTGCTTGAACGTCGCCTCCGTGGGAAACGGTCTGGGTGGGGAGAGGGGCGGTCGGGGTGGCAGCAGGCACGGCGTGTGCGGCGTGCCCCCTGTGTGGGCCTGGCCCTGCCCC